AGAATCCAAAGGCACTATATCTAGGAGGATATCAAATAGAAGAGGAAGACTTACCTAACTTGAAGCCACTCCAAATCCTACACTTCCTTGAAAAAATAGAATTGGGTCTTTATAGGCATTGAAACATTTCCTTGGTGCATTAGCGACAAAAGGGGACACAATAGATCTTTTAGGACGCAGTGTATTAACACTCCATTTCCAACATAACATAACATGTATATCCCAAAAACGCGTATAAATTGGAAAAATCTACTACCAAAACAATTCGCCGATTGTTGCGACTGTTGGCGACATCGCATAATATAGAAGGACTCACGCAACCCAATAAAGAGGTAATATTGATCTAGTGAGAGAAGATGTGAAAAATCTGTAAATAAGCACAAGAAAGCGATTTTGGTGTTGAACTTGCACCTGTAACCGTAGAAGATGCAGGTAACGCGAGGCCTAGAGCCTGCAAACTTGGAATAAAGTTTGAATTATTGCAATGGAATTGTTAACATTAAAAATCAAATTGCAAATTTTCGAAGCAGAATCATCAATGAGTGACTAAACACACTTGTTTGTCTCAATGATATCGTAAATAAGCAAAACCATCGATAATAGGGTAGTGAAAATAAGCGAATCATTCAAGAACAAGAACACCGCAAATGCAAGAATTTGACCATTAAATCATGTGGTTTTAAGAATATGATGCTATGGCACACACAGCTCTCGACACAGAGCGTATTTCGAAATACGGTAATGTACTATGGCCACCCAGGTCAACCGATTAGACTGCGTTGAACATACTTCTGTGGGGTTATTTGAACAATCGTGTGTATGTGAATCTACCAAAAACTCTTAGAAGTTCTCAAAGCCAACATAAAGCAAGAAATTGTTAACATATAATTCGATATGTTAGCGGAGGTCATTTGGTTGACATCATGTTGGACAATTAGAATATAACAACATAAATTAGAAGCTTCTAATATTTCCAATTTGGTGTCACAATTATTCAAATTATAAATGAGAGCATGACTTTTGCGATACCTTTTATTAATATATGAACAATTACTGAAAACATTATGGACTTACGGCATAAAGTTCTAAGGATGTTGCCGCAAAAATAACATAAATATAATAGAAAGTTTTCAGAACAAAATATTTAGGACAATAGTAAACGCACTTTGGTATGTAAGGAACTCAGAGATCTAAGTCGAAGAAGAGAAGAAAACATCGCAAAAAATACGAAAAAAGGCTGCATGAGCACGTCAATATTAAAGTTCTATAGCTGCTGGACAATCAATATCTAATGAGACGACTTAAAAGGACCAAACTATTTGAATTAGTGGTGTGAAATTATGTAAAATCAGAGCATAATGCACGTATTGAAACATTCAAATAGAAAGTATAAGATACCATTGGTTGAACTCTTGATGGGTTAAACTGTTAATATAAAATATAAATAAATAAAAAAGTGATGCTAACTGTAACGTCATCTCAAATCTCAATTTTAGATTCGCTTATTGATCCTTATATTTGCAATCCAAATTTCCTTAAGGGGTTCAATACATATTTATCCATTAAAAGTTATAATTTCTTGGTGATTATCTGTTAAATTTCAAATAGATATAATACAAATTGGTCCCTAGTTGGGGTTACACTTTGAAAGTCTCTTATTCACCAACAAATTAATAACTTATTTAACCATAATTAGCTTGAACGTTTGTCTGAGGGAAGACAGGTCAGAAATGGAAAAGAAGAAAAAAGAAAACACATGACTTTATTTTTATTTATTATCCAATATCCAACCTTTCCATATCACTTCCAATTCAACAAATCAGTATGGCTTTTCGCCATAAATGTTAACATTCCTAACATGTTTGTGACTTTTGTAATGATTCTTCAAATTCTCTTTTCGTTTGGTTTTGAAATTGCAAGTGAAACAATAATATCTGGGTTCCTTGCCGCATTCAAGCCTTCTGTGCCTGGTCAAATCGCTCTTGCATTTGTAATCTTTGTCGCAATCGTGACATCGATGTCTATCTAAAAAATAAACAAAATTATTACTATTTAGAACAACGGTTCTGTTGGACAAAATATTATTTTATTAATGTGAAATCAATTCTATATACTGTTAAAAGACATATTGGGTCACCTCTAGTCTAGTGCACTTAATTACCAATTAGTGATTAGTATTAACGTGTATTTGTACATAACTGAATGTATTGTGAAGATTCAAGAGTCTCTCAGGGTTCAAACATCGACCTAGTCTTATTCTTATTGTTTTTAATGATGTTTCATCTTGTATCTTGTTTAGTTAATAGTCATTGTTTATTATTTGCTGGCGAATTAAAAATTTAAACCATCAACATTGAAAATAACTTGTCCCTACAGTTTGATTGACATTGAAATGCTAAGAAACTCATCAATAACCTTCTTGAGTATTATTTTTGATGTTGCAGTGTCTTTTATCTTTCATCTAACTGCGAAAAGTGTATGACATTCAACTAAGAGTATTGCCTCCACCTGCATTTTTAATTCAGTAGTTTTACCACATGCTACCTTTTCTTCACCCCGGCTTTTCGCGAAAAAAAATGACAAAATAGTCTAGTTTATGGTGAATGGGATAAAAATTGGATAAAGTATGCCTGTAAGGGCAACACTCCTAGTTGAGAGCCAAACAAACATTTTGAACCTCCCTTTTGGTTCCGATTAAATGCAAAACTCCGTAAACTACAAAAATTACAAACCTAAATTTCTAATGGTTATGATCAAAATAATAATTGAAATCCCCAATCACAATTAATTTAAAGAAAGAGCAGGCTACTTTTTGCCAGCTGTATTTTCCATAGATAGACATAAAAGAATCCAGAGGATACCTACTAACTTTGAAGGTATAATCTTATGAAACAAGGATGTGACTATGTGTTATGTAAAGCATTGAATGTAGAAGAATACATGGTTAGATTAGATTCGATTAGATTTGAAAGGAGTTGGACATTATTTCTCCTTGTCCACCGCGAACTGTTCAATAGTGTGCAACTCCTTTGTTTAGAGTATGTCATCTAGTTAGGTCTTTTTTATTAGACTTGGTAGCTTTGACAGTGGCTCCATTACATGTGTCTGGCTTTTCCTCACATACAGTTCATCAAATTTCTAGAGGTGTTCGACGCCCAGACAGAGAACGCGCTACGTGTGACTCAGATAGCTATTGTACAGTCTGCTAAACAAGTTATTTTAAATAGTTTTTAATATTTTTAGGTAATTAAATTTTAAAAGTGTGGAATAGTTTAGGGATTAAATTGGTCTGATTGGACTTTCTTAGAACGTTTTTAAAAGCAGCTAAAGATAGTATGTAGAATTGAAAATAATTATTATGCCATAAAAGGTGTTTTGGAATTCCTTCAACCTTTTGAAATTGAGTCAGAAAATATAAATTTTATAGGATAGCAGAAAATACCTATAATTTTTTTGTAGGCCTTTGTAAATCGTGGAAATAGTTTATATTTTATTTCTACCTTATTAAGGAAAATGGTACCTATTATTAATAACGGTTGTTTCTGAAACATTACTAAAATTTTCGAAATTTTGTTTTTCTACAAAATAATAAACTATACTATTTAGAAAAAAATTTATTTCTCTTATAATTTTATAAAAAATAACAGGGGAATATTTACATTTCTTGATCTATTAAACAAAACGATAAATTATCTCGACGAATGACACCATGTTCTAGTACGGAAGCTAGCTTTACATTTTTGTTGGTGGTTTCATGGGTTTCATATCAATTTTTTGTAATTGTAGTTTACACGTACATATACCTCTTAACACTTGTTTGCTTTATTAAAAAAGTGTGTTGTTGTGATTTACGTCGAAATAAATCAAAAACAACTTGAAACCCCATATAAAATCAACAAGGAGAAACGGAAAAAAATTGAGCCTGTAAATGAACACAACTCAAAAACAAAAATAGCTATCTAATAATAAAAAAATAAAATTTGATTCTTGTGCAGCTTCATCTATATCATTAACTGTTTTTGGTTTTTTAATGGTTTTTCTTGGTGATGAAAATTCCGATATCTCACGGTTATCGATTCTTTTTTTCTCTCCAGAAATGCGGACGACAGTGTTTTTAGATACTCCTGTGGCTGCAGCAACACGATCATTTACATTTTTAAATGCTATTGAAGGTGAATTAAAGTTTCCTTCTCTTCTCATAAACTCTATAACATTGGCTATTATTTCGCGAGATTGACTGTTAATCACGCGGCCTCTTAATTTGCTATTAAACTCCATACTTAGGTTCTATTAAACTGTAATGAGCAAAAAAACACAAACGAAAATAAAAGAAATGTTTTAGCGAAATTTACATCTGACATTTACGTCTGAATGAAATAGTGAAATACTTGATGCGCAGAGTGTACTTTCATTGCGTAAATCCGTCGGGATGCCTGTCAGTAGTGCTTTCTCTGTCTAGCCGTTGAAAGCCTCTAGAAATTTGATGAACTGTAGTGTTAGAAACATCAACCTAGCCAGGCCTTTAACAATGTTGCTTATTCTGCTAGATCGATGACACTCATGTTCCTTCTTAGCCGAGAGTGATGGATACTTTGCACAATGGCGTAGTAACTTAGAACGGTTTGGGGCGTGTGACGCCTTTATATGAATCTTCTCGGGCTAGTTCGTCGGCCTTTTCATTGCTCTAATATCCTTCGTGACCTAGTACCCAGCCTAAGGTCACTTTGTTTTGACTAATTAGCTACATCGGGTCTTCTAGGCAGTCTTTCACCAGTCGTAATTTGATTTCTGGTGAAAGAATTGCATTTAGAGCTGCTTGGCTACCAGAATAGATGGTAATAGTTTTGCTTGATACTTGGTGAATACATGGTTCATTGTATTTGTATTCAAACTAATTGGTGGCATGGTGCATTGCAATAATGTTTTGGAAAGGATTCAGAAAATTTAGTTATTTATAAAAGTGGGAAATAATTATTGCACAAAAAATATTTGAAAGTTTATTATTTTTTCAAATACTGAATATTCCTCAAGTGCTTTTGGCTTCTGTTGTGAGAATTCAAATTTTCTATTCTAGTAGTTTTATAGCAACAGGCAACACAAGTAAAAGAGGGTTCTTTTCCGCATTCTAATCGTTGATGCTTGTTCAAATCTTTTTTATTTTTGTAGGATTTTCCGCAATCTTCGCATTCGTGTCTAAACTGCAAACCTGAAAGCAATTTTACATTAAGTACATTGGACAAAACTAGAAACTCAAAGGTCGAGATAATGTAAAAATGTTTAATCATCTACAAATTATATAAGGTATCTGAAAGATCAAGCATCCAAAGAATTATTCTTTGATAGTTAAAACTATCTGAAGAGGACGTAGAAAATACCCAAATTGTAGTCAATATCTCAGAAGTTGTCGAAAGGTCCAATGAATACCAATTGAGTACGAATTTTTGAACTTTTATCATTTTTCAAAATACTGAAGATTTCTTAGATGCTTTTGGCTTTTCTTGTGCCAATTTAGGTTTTCTATTCTCTTGGTCTTGAACTGGCATGCATTACAAGTATAATTGGGCTCTTTCCCGCATTCCATTCGCAGATGTTTGTTCAAATCCCATTTATTTTTATAAGATTTTCTGCAAATTTCACAAATGTGTCTGAACTGGAAACCTGGAAGTATTTTTAGTTACAACGCATGTTCAATAGGGCTGAGGTGGAAAATAATGTTATGTAACTTAAATATTGCGAAATATAAAACTATAAAGATTATTATTAAAAAATATTACTAGTTTAAATCAGAAAAATGGAATTAGGGATGTTTTAAATAAGCAGTTCAAAAAGGAAAAAATATATGCCGAATTGGCGCAAAAACTTAGACTCTGTTGTTAAACCTGAAAGATCTCAATTGTTTTTTATTACAGAATATTAATCCTTAGTATTTATAATAATACTCTGCACAAAAAAAAACGATTGAGATAACAACCCTTATAACATTTGGACAAATACAAAACAAAATGAAATAAATGATAAAAAAATTAATGTATAAACAAAATTATTAAATAAATTATTGACAAAGTTATTCAGAAAAATATTGTCCAAATTATTAAAAAAATTATTGACAAAATTATTGACAAAATTATTGACAAAATTATTGACAAAATTATTGACAAAATTATTTACAAAATTATTTAAAAAATTATTCACAAAATTATTAAAAAAGTTTATGAGAAAATTAATGACAAAATTATGAAAAAATAGATAAAATTGTTGACAACATTACTGATCAAAATTAATGACAAAAAGACAAAACTAATTAACAAAAGATAGTGAAAAATAAATAACAAAACTAATGACAAACTTAATGACAAAATTATTGACAAAATTACTGACAAAATTACTGACAAAATTAATGACAAAATTAATGACAAAATTAATAACAAAATTAATGACAAAATTAATGACAAAAGTACTGAAAAAATTAATGACAAAATTAACGACAAAATTAATGACAAAATTAATGACAAAATTAATGACAAAATTAATGACAAAATTAATGACAAAATTAATGACAAATTAATGACAAAATTAATGACAAAATTAATGACAAAATTAATGACAAAATTAATGACAAAATTAATGACAAAATTAATGACAAAATTAATGACAAAATTAATGACAAAATTAATGACAAAATTAATGACAAAATTAATGACAAAATTAATGACAAAATTAATGAAAAAATTAATGACAACATTAATGAAAAAATATTGATTAAACGAACGATAAAATTAATCATAATATCAATGACTAAATTAATGACAATAAATTAAAAAATGAATGACAATTTAGTGACAAAATTAATGATAAAATTAATTATATTAATGCTAAAATTAATGACATTGACAAAATTAATGACATTATTATTGGCAAAATTAAAGTAATTAACAAAATTATTGATAAAGTTAATGATAAAATTAGTGATAAAATTATTGACAAACGTAATTATAAAATTAATGTCAAATTTAATAACAACATTATTGACAAAATTAGTGACAAAATTAGTGACAAAATTAGTGATAAAATTAGTGACGAAATTAATGACAAAATTAGTGACAAAATTGATGACAAAAATAATAATAAATTTAATGACGAAACTAATTAATGACAAAATTACTTATTGACAAAATAATTATTGACAAAAATAAAAATGAAAAAATTAATTAATGACAAAATTATTTAATGACAAAATTATTTAATGACAATATTAATTATTGACAAAATTAATTAATTTTGTCATTAATTAATGGCAAAATAAATTAATGGCAAAATTAATTAATTACAAAATTAATTAATTACAAAAATAATAAAGGACAAAATTAATGACAAAATTATTGACAAGATTAACGACAAAATTAATGACAAAATTAATGACAAAATTAATGACAAAATTAATGACAAAATTAATGACAAAATTATTGACAAAATTATTGACGAAATTTATGAAAAAATTAACCCTTCATAACTTTCGCTATGAAAGAAATCCTTCACATTTTTCCAAAATTTTTTGGAGTTTTGCTTTACAGATTATGGAAGGGGTACATGAATTTTTACAAATTTGTTGATTTGTGTTTAGTTCTAGTTAAATAGTTACACGTTATAGTTACGCGTTCTTGGGTTTAGGTTCCTATAAAAAAAGCATCTAGTTGCGATTAACAGCCTATAAGTAAGTATATATTGTTCCTGTACGTCTGGTTACATGTTATATGTTGGATTTTTTAATGTTAAAATGTTATATATAATAGAAACAACCATAATTCCAGGATCAAGTGTGTGTGTGTGTGGGTGTGTGTGCGTGCGTGCGTGCATGCGTGCGTGTGTGTGTGTGTGTGTGTGTGTGTGTGTGTGTGTGTGTGTGTGTGTGTGTGTGTGTGTGGGTGTGCGTGTGCGTGTGCGTGTGCGTGTGCGTGTGCGTGTGCGTGTGCGTGTGCGTGTGCGTGTGCGTGTGCGTGTGCGTGTGCGTGTGCGTGTGCGTGTGCGTGTGCGTGTGCGTGTGCGTGTAGGTGTGTGTGTGTATGATTGGATTTTATGACTGCGGATATAATCCAAGTGAAACTATTCCAAATAATATGAATTTTGTCCGAAACGAAAAAATCGTAAGACAAAATGCATTCAAGTAAACTGTTCTTTGCCCATTTGCGGCAAATATACTAAATATATTTGTGCCAAATATTTACTTTGAGAGTAATATATTGCTTATTAAATTGCTAATTAGATTCATGACAAAATTCATAACGAAATTCATAACAAAATTCATAACAAAATTCATAACAAAATTAATTACAAAATTCATTAAAAATGAAAAAAGTAAAAACAAAGTTAATGATAAAATTTTAGACAAATTTATGTCACAATTAATGACAAAATTATTGATAAAATCATTGATAAATACATTGATAAAATCATTGATAAAATTATTGATAAAATCATTGATAAAATCATTGATAAAATCATTGATAAAATCATTGATAAAATCATTAATAAAATCACTGATAAAATAATTGATAATTAAAATATTAAAATTAATAGGAAAAATGTATGATAAAATTAATGACTAAATTATTAACAAACTTATGGGCAAAATTACGGTATGATGGATATGCAGGTAAGAAATGCATTTGTTCAGTGGATCCACAAAGGTATTAAAAACGAATATAAAATTGCATAAGTATCAATTTATTTTTAAAATATTTTTTAAAATCCAAACATTATACGGTAAAGTCACAATTTCATCAAAATACAATAATTCTATGACACACTTGCTATTTACTGATCGCCTTCTTGTTCTGTATAAAACTGTCCAGTATGTACTTGATTTAAAGTCCGAATCAGTGACGAACTATACTTGCTCTCGTTACTTAAATGCTTCAGACTCTTGTAGTGGATCCTGAGATTACCAAGTATGTTCGTTTTGTAATTGCATAGTTTGCACTCGTAGGGTGTTCTTTCCTGACATTCTACAGCTTGGTGCTTTTTTAAATTGTATGCGTACATGTATTCTTTGCCGCACACGCATTTGTGATGACCTAAAAGTGATTAAAAATTAAAAAAATTATCCATATTAACACAATAAGAGTTTGATAATTATGCTTTAAGTTTACATGCACAAATAGTAGTAACTCTAGTTGTTAAGCAATCAGTTGTTGATCTATAATCTCTAAATGATTTCTACCGAAAAGATCTCGCGTTGCTGAGTAATCCGTGTGCATATTATACTCTCAAATATAAACATATCTATAATGTATAACAATTTTTATTTCTTATCAATGTTACTAAAATCTACTGTTGTTGATTTAATTTCCGTTGTTTATACGATTAAGGGCCAATCTTTTCACCTCTCAGTAAAGTTGAAAGTAACTATTTACTGATTAAACTATAGGGCTATTGCTCTTTAATCTGCCAAGTAAACCTACGTATAACTTTACTCAGAGTTGAAAAAATCTACCCTTATAACCATAACTCTTCAAAATTATGAATAATTTAGTCAGCTAAGGTCACAATGCAAGCTTCTAACTAATGGTTAATCCTTTTGGAATTTTTTAAGTAGTAAAACAGGAAATAACATACTAGATAAAAAGGACTTGGATGACTCTTCAGCATATTGCAGTCGTGAAGAAGCAAATCTGTTTGCAAGACATTTTTCTACAATTTACACCACACACCTAAATTTAAAGTTTCTTCGTCCTACTACATCCCAGTTTTAACTACTTATGATAAATTGTCCAAAAATTGATACAAAAAATCATCAAAATAGTTTCCTGATTATTGGAAATTCTCTTATGTCATCACTATATACAAATCCGGTAGCAAATCTGATGTCAAGAATTATCGACCCATTAGAATTCTCAGTACAAATGGTGTTATGAATAAAAACGAAGTACATGCTAAGACTAGAAGTATTATCATTTTCTACAAAGTTTTCTTTAACTAAAATAGAACTACATTTTTACCTGCTAATTTTCAAGCAGAAGTCAAACTAGGGAGATGCTACACATTTTAAAGTAAATAATACGCAATAAAAGTGAAAAAATACTACAAGCACTCTAGTAAATAATTCGACATTAAGTAAATACTACCGGAACTGACCAGATGCTTCATGATGAAGCAGAAACTTCGTAGTAGATCGATAAAATTGTAGTATTAGCATCTACTTTGTTTTTATTCATACCACTCATTGTCAGTAACCTTGGAAAAAGTTTTACGAATCGATTCAGTGTATACTTACTTTTCCAAGGCTTTTGACAAGGTTAACCACACTCTCTTACCTTAGAAGCTTCTTAAAAGGACTAGGGTATTACTGCAATGAATTGGTAGCTATCTTACTAATAGAACTCAGACGGTCAAATTTAAACACTCACTATTCTAACTTATTTCAAGTAACCTCAGGGGTCACATCTAGGACCTTTACTATTTTTTAACGAATTTATTAATGATACGATTTATTGTTTACGTAACACCAAAGCTTTATTATTTGCAGATGAATTAAAACTTTTCGAATTTGTTGAATCCATGATGATGGATGCCCTTTAGGACAGAAGTGTAAAACAAAAAATGGACGAATCGGAAATAATTGCTAACTGGTTTTATTGTTATGGCATGATTTGTGGCCTAATTTGACTATGCTAGGTTTTCACCCTCAACGGAGTTTTGCTTAAATGTACTCCCAAAAGAGGCCTAAGATCGTACACCTAATTTGTATCATTTACCATGATAATTTTAAGAAAGGATATTCAATGATTGATTTTTAAATGTAATACTAAATAATGACCATAATTCATTTCTAGTCTACGCTTAATCTTGCAAAACTAATATACACTGTTGTGTTGGTTAGGACTGAATGGCTGTATTACCTATTTAGCCTCACTAAAAATGTATTTTGTTTCTGATAGTTTAGTAACTTTTGATTATTCCCCCTCTATAATTTTGTTTCATTGGCAATTAGGCCTAGGTTAGGTTAAGTTGAAAATGAGAGGGATGATCTCATCGCCTTCCACTGCGACCCAGATGGATATATTGTGGCCCATGACAAACGTATAGTTCACCGTACAAGCCACACCATTTGATGAAGGCCATGGTTGAATTGGGTGCGACTTGTATAAAGTTGGTAGGCTCTAGTCGGGTAAATCCGAAGATCTGGAATCTGGTTCTTTCCAAAGCAGAGCAGGTATATAAAATGTGCCCTGCAGATTCGTCTTCCACACTGTAAAATCGACAGTCCGATGTTTGTTGCAGTGCTCTTATCAATGCCCAGGAATGGTTCTGGTCCTGTGAACTCAGATTCGATTTCTCTTGTATCCAGAAACCTAGATCAAAGTAACTTTGTTCCGGGCACCGAGACATTCAAGTATATTTATACAGCTCCAAACCAGCTTTGAGTCAACTCGATTGGAGCTCAGGACCTTGAGGGCTGCCTGGCTATCCGAAAAGACCTTTATAGTCTTATTTGCGCGGAGCAAATTAATCAACTCTCTCGCTCCCAATCATTTCGGCTTGGAAGATCGTGGCCAGAGAGCTTAGGGTTTATTAATATGTCTAATCTAGGCCTCTGGCCGAAAACTCCCGCTCCTACTCCTTTTTCAGTTTTGGAGCCGTTCTTGTACAACACATAGTCCGCCTGGGAGAGGGTTTAATCCCCTCCTGCTCCATACGTCTCTCTTTGTAATGAGGACGTTGTATGGCGTTTCTATGTGCTGTCGGGGAATTAGCAAGTCCCAGACCATGCCGATGATGTGGTGGTTATTAATCTCATTCATCACTCCCGTCTTTTCCCATCGCAGTTTTTCGTTGCATTGACTACCTACCTTCAGGAGTCTATAGAAGACTATCCTAGCCTCCTTTTCCAGCAGAATGTGGAGAGAGGTTAGGTCTAGTATGCTCTCCATGGCTCCCGTCGATGTGGTTGACATTGCGCCAGTGATGGCGAGGCACGCAAGCAGCTGTATTTCAGCCAGCTTTGCTCGTACGTAACCATGAGTTTTACCACTGTTTGGCAAATCCAGTAGATCAGTTGAAGATTGATCCCCCTATGCTTTGCCGCTTATCCTTCTAAAGGTCAAGAGAGATAGTCTGGCTTTCTTAATGGTTTTATCTAATTGGGGGTTCCAGGTGCAAATAGGCCAAACTACATTGATGTTATGGAAGATAAGTGCCAGTTTTCGTTGAAAGAGGTCCATAAAGGTTTACCTGGCCCAAAAGCAAGCGATAAAAGGTTGCAAGACCATTATGACATCATCATATCAATTGGTTAACAGCTGCATTACAAGGATGCTTAGATTAGCTAACTTCCACAATGATTTTAGACTGTTAAACTTCATTTAAAACTCAGTCTGTATGACATATAAAATACCTTTGCTTGTGTTACAACACCATACAAATTTGTGATATTTAAAAATTTTAATTTGTAAGTAAAATGGGCTTGCGCAAGATTTTGATTGATTGATATATAAATAATATCTGATATGGAAATGTCCTTTAAGTAAATAGAATGGTTAACCAAAAGGATTCGATTATCTAAAATATTGTAATAAATTCAATTTTGAAATTGCAAATAAATAATAAAAATTCTTCTTGTCGTCTTTTGGCTGCGTTCTAACTTTTCTGCTTCTTCGTCTCTGGTCTTCCACTGACATACTCTCATTCTATTTCTTGAATGCATATCTTCCTATTATACCTGTCTGGTTGTTTGTTCTTTATATACTTATAAATAAAACTTTAACCTTCTTATTTTTATTTAATTTATTTAAATTCTCTAACTATAATTCTTCCAACAATCTTATACTAATAAAAATACCCTCTCCAACAATCGATAAACCAAAACAATTTTATACCCCACCCCAATATTGATGCTGATAGAATTTTAACAACCAAATTGTTTCTGATGTAGTCATTTGTCCTCCAGAAATGTTCATATCAATAATGGTAACTTGTATTAATTTATTATTTATTCTTCTATTATAAAGTTGAATGTTGTTCGTGTAAACATCTTACATGTCTGGTGAAGTTTGTCTTGATTTTAGCTTTATAAGGGCAATAGGGACAACAAAATTGCGGTTCTTTTTGACATTCAAAGCGAACGTGAACGGACAATGAGTTTTTTCCTTTGTAGCGTCTACCGCAAACAGCGCACTGGAACTTCCCTAAAAATAATTTCAAACGTGAGCTACTTTTTCTACATCTATATGGATAAGTAGAAAATATCAGTTAATTGAAGATTTTTAAGTTTTTTAAAGTTTCTAAATCTTTTATTCTTTATTATTATGTATTTATTAACAATTTACAAACCGGAAAACTTTCCAACAGTTTGTTAAATTGTTTCTTGTTTAGGTTCAATGAAGATCCAAATAAATAAACCTCAAGCCATCTATACAATAAAATATTGGTTGGTTAAGTCCACAAAAATAATTTTTAATAAAAATAGGAAGTAATAGGGTGTCAATCCTAAAATAAATCTCCCAGTATATGCTAAACGCTAAATACTAAGCATATGCTTGGAACAAATTAAAATAAAAGTAGATCCTTATTAAGTACTGTACATTCTCAGTACATGCACAGCATGTAACATGTACATAGTATATTCTGAAAACGTTCTAAATGCAAATATCTAAAGCACATTAGCATATGTATATTCTTAAAAAGTATATACTAAGGATATACTAAGGATATGCTAAGAATTGTTATCTAGGTGAAGGATGTAAGACTTATCTCCTGCTGTATATTTAAGACAATCTGGGTGATAATTATTCAAGGTTGAGGTATGTTTATTACTCAATAAAATATATAATATATAATTTAAAAAGAAAAACTTGTTTTTTAAATAAACCTTTATTTTGTTTACTAGAAATATATATTTTTTAGATAGAATTGGTTTGGTGTAGCCTTTTTACGTGTTTATTGAGGTTCGTCTTGACTTTTGTTCTATAGGAACAATAAGGGCAACCAAATTGCGGTTCTTTTTGGCATTCATAGCGAATATGGGCATTCAATGAGTGTTTTCTTTTGTAGACTTTGTCGCACACGTCGCAATGGA